GTCAGTATTGGTTGCACTGGAAAAGTTCATGATGCCAGGGTTTTTTGCTGATTGAGAGAGTCTGTATTCATGGACAGGCTGGGACATTATTTCCACCACATGACATTACTATATATGAAGTTCCATCCCCACTGTTATTCTGGGGGATGCTGTGTACCCCCTTTTGCCTTGGCTTATGAAACCATACCCTGATCTCAGATGCCCTGGGAAAAGAAGGTTTAATTACACTCTTAGCAGGTGTAGAATGGCGGCTGAATGTGCATATGGCAGACTGAAATCCCACGGGCGATATCTACAGACCCATTTGGATGCCAGTGTCATCAATGCTGTCCGCATTTCTGTGGCTTGCTGCGCTCTTCACGATCGTTGTGAAGCCAATGGTGAGCCATTTTCCCCTGAATGAACCTATGACTGCAAGGCCCCCTGAACTGGTACACTCAACCAGAAAGTGCATCTACCACAGCTGGAGCTGGATGCACCCAGGCAACAGAAGTCAGAGCGGCTTTGTGCTCCCACATTATAGACTTCCATGGGCCAACTGAAGAGGGAGAATAGTGCCTCTATGTGCTTGTGGGGCATTGATTGCCCTGCATTGTAGTTTGAATGATGTGACTGTTTATGTAATAGGGTGGGGTGGAGAAACCAGAATGGATTGATGTTAATAACTGATGTATGTATATAGCTGTAGTGAGACATGGGTTTTGCATACAACCTCCCACTTGTCCCTGCTCCTCTGTTTACCTTTATTATTTGAAATACACATTATATGATGTGTTGCAGTGATGGCAATACATCTTCTTTATGAAATGAAAACCTTTATTTTTACACAGTTAGTGGAAAAGTACAATATTCAACCACTGCCTGGCAGGCCAGCTGCCATTAGCCCACCATAACACCAGCAACACCAAAAGCTTTAAAAGTATCCAAGAGCATAAACGTGTGCAAACAGTGAAATGATGTACAAGACACCCTATATACACACTATTGTGTTTCCCCTGGCGCACCATTCTCCTTTCAGTTTTGCCATGCACTTGGTGCCGGGGCAAGGGTATGGAGGCATCCACGGGGGTAGGGTTCAGCACTGAAGACTGATAGGCCCGATTGCATCATGGCCCACCCAGCCATGGAGTTGTCCAGGCTGTTCCTGGAATGCAGGCCAGGGTACCACGGAGGGGACACAAGCCAGTGGAGCCTTCACTTTTGCGGCCATTCGAGACAGCCGCTGCTCAAACAGTTCTCTCTGTTGCGCTCTGTCGTCCTCCCTTCACCACCTTTCCTGTTCCAGGAAATGTGAAGCAAATGCCTGCTCCTGCACCACTACCCTGTCCTCAAGCTGCGCAGCCAGACCGAGCCTTCCTGCTTGCCTTTCAGCTTGTCTTTCCTCTTGGAATAGGATGAGACTCAGAGGGTTACTGTTTCAAATAGCTCAGTGCAGGAGCCCAGAAAACATCATCTTGGAATTTCAAGGACAGAAAATGTTCCTTACTGAACGTCAGTGTATTGGCAGAGGGCTGCTTCACACCACTGACGCTCCATAGACATGGCCGGGCAAGCCCCCTCGCCCCGACCCTGCTCTACAGCGGGAGTGCCGGGCAGGCAGGCAAAGGGGGGCAAGACCCTGTGCCCCGACCCCGCTCCCCAGCAGGAGCGCCAGGCAGGGGGGCAGAGCAGGGCAAGCCGCTGCCCCCGACCCTGCTCCCTGGCGGGAGCACCGAGGGGTGGGGGGGACTGCAGGTGGAAGGGGAGGGGAGGGGCCCCCACTTGTCCTGGCCCAGGGCCCCACAAACTGTAATCCGTCTCTGCTTCCCAGTAAAAACTCACTCTTACATGCTTGTTTTACTGTTTGTGTTTCCTCGTCTCCATTTTGAATTCCACAGGGTGGGGGAGGGGGGATGCAAGGCACTGGCATGCAATCCACCATTAGCAGATATATACTGCTTCCCAGGGTTTGCATTGGTTCATAGAGCCAAAAGCCATCTCTCATTCCTATACTAAGAAATACACAAATAGAGTCAGAAACTTACCAGGCTCCAGGGCAGCTTCTCCCTCTTCCATTTCTGTGGCCGGAGCCACAGTGGGCTGTTCCTCCGGGCCAGGCGGGCGTCAAAAAGCTCCTCTGAGTATGGCCCCAGGATGAGTTGCTCCTGCAGCAAAGCCTCCTCTGGGACTGGTTTCATCAACAGAGTCACTTCATTTGCCTCATTCGGTGCCTGCTGCTGGCTCCCATCAATTCCCATGCTGGCTATAGGGGCCAGCAGGACATCATCCCAGCTGACCAGGTCATTGTGCACCGCTGATGGCCCAGTCCTCAGTGCAATCGGGATGGGGGGTAATAGGATTGCAATAGGAACCTATATAAGAAAAAGACCCAAAAATCGGGACTGTCCCTATAAAATCGGGACATCTGGTCACCCTACTCTGCAGGATCATGAAGCATTGGACCTTAAACTCATCACTGGTCCAGAACTGAATCTTGCCTGTTGTGGGCCTCAGGCAACCAATATTAGGGAGAAACAAAAACATGGCATCTGTTGGAAGCTGTTGAGAAATTTGGAATGTTAGAGGTGGCCCCTTGGGAGATAAATTGGTTCTATTTTTGCATCAGAGGTGGAAAAGCAGAGAGATGGTGTATGTGTCTTGGTGTGTTTCACTGTATTTATTGCTGCAACACTCTTACTATAAAGTGTGGCCAAATGGCATCAGTAGCAAGAGGGAGGCCAGGACAGAGACACATCAGGTGTAAGGCTCTTGCTGAGTGTGCTCCTCCCAGCCTGTACACTGGAGCCAGCCGGTACTGGAACTCTCGCTGCTGCTGCTCTTTATAAAGAGACAGCTCAGTTGCTACAGTTTCTGGCTACTTGGCTTGATTTGTTTCTTATTACAGCCCAGCACAGCATGACATGCAACAGATGCATTGCAACATCATCAGGGTGAGGACGCTAATCCTGTCCTCTCAGGGAACACAGGTGGGAGTGTATGAGTGTAAATTGTAAACACTTGTGATATGTGTCCTGCCTTTTGAGCCCCAAAAGCAGGGGGATCTGCTGGATTTGAACTATTCACATATATACCGTTAGCTACATAGCTTAAGCCCTTTTTTTTGCTTCTAGCCAATATTGTTTTCAGCTTGTTACCATGCTACCTGGAACTGTGATTCTGTCAGAACTGAAAGTAAACATGGTTGAATCTAGGCAGTTTCTGGATGGGAGACCTCCAAGACAACGCTGCCGCACACATGGTGTTGATAATTTGGTAGGTGTTGCTCTTACCTCTGAGTCAGCTCCGTGCTGCTGGAGGCACAGGCCCTGGTTCTGGTTTACATTCCTCCGGCTTCATGCTGCTCTGGCAGTCCTCTGCCAACTCTGGGGCGTGGCCAGAATGAGTGGGTGCAAAACCACTAAAGAAGAGTGCTCGCAAAGCTTCTCAGCAACAGAGCATGGATTCAGAAATTTAGCAGTTGCAGAATGTAAGGGCCGAGACAGCAGCCAAATTGTCTTCTCATTCATACGCTGTGCAACCCTATTGATTTCAGTGGGATTGCACAGGATGTACATGAAGGCAGAGGTTGGACTATGTGTCCTTATAGGGGTGTAACAGAGAATAAGAACCCTGTGTGGGCTATCGGATCTGGGGCACAGGCACACAGGAGTGAGCAGGTATTGTGCCTCTGCTTATCCTCACCCCTGAGCACATGGGCGAGGTGAGAATGGGTGAAGCGTTGGCTCTGCCCCAACACATGAGGATAGTACAAGGACACAGTGAGACAGTATTGGTCAGCATGATCGACGTTGGCCTCTGCACACTGGCAGCCTAACCGTTGTCATGTCTTTTGCAGGCATCACAGCACAGTAAAGTTTTAAGGAAGGGTTTGCAGATGGTTACAGAGAGCATGAGGGGCAACAGGGGAGAAAGCACAAAAGGTGCTTGTTTGAAATTTAACACATGGGTGATGGAGGCTGGCCTCTTGGACTGGTCAGAGGCAGGAGATGACTTTTCCATACTGAATAAGAGATGATAGGTAGGGTGCTTAATTTGTGCCAGGGCTGAGCCCCGGCACCTCTAGGCTTGGCAGTTCATAGCCCCCGTGCCTCTGGGGTTGCTGCATCTGTTGTGAATGTAAAAAAAATGCTTGAGACACAGCACCTCTTTCATTACAAATTAAACCCTAGGTAGGGCTCTGTCATGAAGGGCCTGAAAGTGAAGACAAGCAGCTTGCGTTTGATACAACAGAAGAGGGAGTCCGTGAAAGGATATGAAGAGAGGGGTGACATGGTTAAAGAGACAGGCTACGAAATGATCTTTGCCTTCTGAATGGATATGAAAAGGGCACAATTGCCTTTGTCAAGGCCAGAGAAAAGGATGTGGCAGTAATTGGGACTCGAGATGATAAGAAGACTGGATGAGAGTTTTAGCTGTGTGTATGGATAGGAATGGCCATATCTTAGCGATGTTAAGCGGAAAGAATCTACAAACCTGGATATGAGGACCTAGACAGAAGTCTGAATCGAAGATGACACCTGGGCTATAGGCATGAGTGACAGGAAGAATGGCGGTGTTGTCCTCAGGGACTGTGAAAGGAGATAGCGGGGAGAATTTTGGAAGAAAGATCTGTTTTAGCCATATTTGGCCTGAGCTGAAGGCTAGACATCCACAAGGAGATGTCAGAGAGACAGGCTGCGATTTTAGTTTGACCAGAAGGAGAGAGGTCTGGAGTAGATTTGCTGTCGGTATAGGCCTGCAGCATGTTACTCCCATTGTGGAGCAAGGAGAGAAAAGGAAAGGTGTTGTGCCTTGGGGAGACATTTCTGAGGCACAATGCCTTCTGGGGCTACTCCTGTGACTGCAGTTTATACACCACACCTTACTGAGGGCTCTGCCTATAGGCCCAAGCTAGCCCTAAGGCATTCAGCAGCTAAGCCAAACACAATCTTGAAAGTAAGAGTCATGTATTATGTAAAATGACGCCACTGACATAAATTACTCTTTCTCTTGCTTCTCAGCAACGCCCTGTCAAGCAGTCCTTGAGTGCCTCCATGTGCAGAGAATCCCACTGGAAATGCCTCCTTCTTTCCATCCTTATGTATGGCTGCCTGGGTGCTGTGGCCTGGTGTCAGCTAGCCCGAGTCACCAAGCTCAGCTTTGATAGCTCCTTCAAAGGCAAGTCTATGATCTACCATGATAGCCCGTGCTCTGATGGCTATGTCTACATCCCCCTAGCCTTCCTCACCATGCTGTACGTGGCCTACCTGGTGGAGTGTTGGCACTGCCATGCCAAAAGCGAACTCCAGTACAAGGCAGATGTGGACAGCGTCTATGACCGTATCAACCGCATGCAGCAAGCCACTCCCTGTATCTGGTGGAAGGCCATCAGCTACCACTTTGTACGACGCACCCGGCAGGTGACCCGGTACCGCAATGGTGATGCCTATACCACCACGCAGGTCTACCATGAGCGGGTCAACACACATGTGGCTGAAGCTGAGTTTGACTACTCTCACTGTGGATTCAAGGACATCTCCAAGGAGCTGCTAGGCCTAGAATGCTACACAGCCACGAAGCTGAAGTTCACCAAGTGCTTCAGCTTTGCCAACACAGAGTCAGAGAACTCCTACCTGACCCAGAGGACTCACTTTTTCACAGAGATTGAGGGACTGGATGACTACATGGAGGTCAGGGAAGGCATGCAGCTCAAAAACATAGACTTCAAAGAGCTTATGATGGCCTATGGGGACCCAGAGCATCTCCCATGGTACGTGTCCCACTATACTTTCTGGGTGGCAGCTGTCTTGATGATTTCCTGGCCACTGCGGGTGCTCATAGAGTATCGGACTGCGTACGTGCACTACCATGTTGAGAAGCTCCTAGGCCTAGAGTACACAGTGCCCGGCATAGCAGAGGAGCCCCTGTATAGGTATCGCATGCCCCGGGATAACACTCAGGACAACACTGAACTGGAATGGCACATCTGTACCAACCGACAGCTGATCCCCAGCTACTCGGAGGCCATGCTCCTGGACCTGACAGACTCCCCTGTGTACAACGGCTACTCCATGTATGGGTACAGTGAAATAGCTCATGGCTGTGAGCGCTGCAACCAGGCCTCCAGCAACTCCTCCATCTTCTCCCGGTACGCCTTCCACAGTGGCAGCGGAAACTCACGCCTCTCCCTCAACACCAGCCGCTTCTCTTTGTGCCGGGTTCATGGCTCCCACAGGACAGGCCTCGGGAGGAGCTGCAGCAGCAGCATTGCGGACCGTGGCTGCCAGGATGAACAATGTTGCTCTTACTCTAGTCAGCTAGCCATCAATGAAAACCCACCCACCTACCAGGATGCCCGCTTTTTCCCAGTGTTAATTGTGCACAGGCCTGAAGGGCACGAGGGGAGGCGCTTCTACATCCGGCGCTCATCCTGCCTGGAGACGTCTCTGTGATCAGGCCTTATGGCTCTATGGCTCCTCCCTCCCCAGGACAGCTCCATTGCACTAGTGCTGTTTGACAGAGATGCTATCAGCAGGGAAACCGTTAACTTCAAGACTGTGCCACCACACACTAGCTCCACAGGGCAAACTCTTCAATTCTAATTCCCCTCAGTGCCAATGCAAGAAAATATATCCACTCTGACAAGCAGCTACTCATTTCTCTTCCTCACATTTTCCATTACTTCCCCATCACTGGGTGTCCCCTCTCTTTTTTCCTCTTGCCTCCCCTTCTGCTCATCAGTCACCCTTTTCCTTTCTTCCCCTGTTTCTGTCTCCTCTCTCATTCCCATCTCCATCCTCCCCTCACATTTCAGTCATTATACTTTGCACCACAACAGCAATTTTCACCTGAGGATCTCAAAGCACTTTGCAAACACTGATGCATTTAGCCTCCCAACTCTCTTGTAAGGCAGGAAACTGAGGCCCAGAGAGGTTAAGTGATTTGCCCAAAATCACACAGCAAGTCAGTGGCAGAGCCAGAAGCAGAATTCAAATCTGCAGACTCCCAGTCACCTGCTGTTACCACCAGACCAGGCTTATCTTTCCCTCCTCCTTCTCTCATTTACTCCCTCCCTCTTTCACTGTCTCCTGTTCTTCTCTGTCCACGCCTGTCTTTCTTTCTGGCTGTCTCAGTTCTGCTCCCTAAGTTCTCGTCATTCCTTCGCAGGGTCTTAGAGAGCTGGATCTTGCCTAATCAAAGTGTCTTCCTTGCTTTCCAGGTACAGCCATTTAGTACTGGTAAGAAATTATATCTACACAGCACAAGTGTAATGGTCCATTTGTATAAACAAAGGGCCTGATACTGAAAGGTGCTGCGCACCCAGCACTTTCGCTGAAGGGTCAAGCCCCAGAATACTGAAGTTTACCAGTAAAAGGAAAGAACATGCTCCATCCCACCTTTCCTCCTACCCCATCACGCTCCCAGGCCTTGTCAATAAACATTTCCTTCTGTTGCTAGCCCCATTTCCACTCTTCAGAGTTAGCAATGTTGGGGGCACTAATGTAGACTGAGTGCTGGTTGGCACCACCATTTTTAGCATTGTGACCCTGTTTCCCAGTTACTTCATTCCCACACCTGGCACAGGAATGGGGTGGCCAAGAGGCAAAGGTGGTCTTTTGTCACCTTTGTGCTCCCCATATTCTGGGGCTGTTTGGGGGTTGCCACAGCCCTCAGTGTAAGTTAGAGCAACCTCAGAGCTGCTGTAACTTAAACTCTGCTTCCCATGCCTTCTATGGGCCCTGGGAAACAAAGAATAGCTGTAGCTCTGTTTACTAAGCTACATCTCCTGCCCCATTCTCAGCATCCCACTCCATCACCCCAACGTCAGGGGTTGGGAGCACAGCTGTATCAGGCTAGTTCTATGCTGGCTAGGAGACCCGAGACCCATTTTGCAGGGGTATCCTTGGGGTGCTGTTTCTCCTCCCCATAAGGCCCCTTTATGCTGCCAGACCATGGTAAAGGTGCCTTAGTGTAATGCCAGATTGGCCCCTGTGTCATCTAATCCTGCTCAGAGCAGGTCTAAATGACACACTGGTTAAAACAGCGGTGGCAGGGTCACACATCTACAACAGGGTACTCTACTGCTGGTTGAGCTGAACTGCCGTTAGCAACAATAGACAAGGCTCTAGGCTCTGTCAGTGGCATTCCTGCTTTCCCATCTTGGGAGTCAGCATTTTTTAAACATTTCCTAGCTCCAAGATCTGAACGAATCAAAGGTGGCTGGCCGTTCTCAGGAACTGCGAAGGGACCATCTCAGAATGCAAACCTGCATCCAATGAGTGATCATCTAACACTGAACAAGACCTAGAAATGTTGTTGGGTGGATCGTGGACATCATGATTATCAGTGGCTTACAGTGGATATCAGAATGCAATGCAGAATTTTTCAGAAACAAGGTGTTTTAATACCACATGGCTAATAAATAAGAAACATTGTCCACTAAGGGATTGTTAAAAATGCTTACTCCCAAATCAGTTTCTTATATATCTACTTGTAATTTGAAATCTGTACTGTCTGTTTGGTATGTGTAGATCAGATCTGTATCTATACATATACAGTGATTTCTTATGGCATTGACTGTTGCATCATGTAAAAATCCTTTCGGTTTAATTATTCTGTTTTGTAATACTGCTTTTATTTCAACACGAGAGATAGGGAATGCTTTCACATATGCAACACAAAGTTCATCTGTAAATGATGGTGATTGCAATCAAAAGGTTGTCTCAGTCTACAGGAATTTATCTATTTCTATAAATGTTTTATGTAAGTGCTTACCACTCTGACAGCTAGGCACTAATTACAAAAGTTAGGAAACATACATGATGCTTTTAGTTTATTACCTTAAAAAAAAGTGCTTAGAGTTACCTGCCCCAATGCTTAGAAGAGCCGGATCTAGGTTTGGGTGAGTTTTCAGAGATGGACTCAACCCAAAATCTCAATTGTGATAAACCTCAAACCTAGGAAGAATTCAGACCTAGATTCACACTATAATGAGCCACCCAAACCTCAGATCTGAACAACGGCATACTCCACCACCACTCAGAACAGGGGGAGATTTTAAATCCAGATCAAGAGTCAGATCTGAGCTCTATAGCTTGAGCTCATCTCTAATTATTTTTAGATGGAGTAGTTGAGACTGTTTAATATGATTCCCTTTCTCCTTTACATACACACACGCACAGAGTTAAACTGAGAGCATATGAAAGACTTAAGAACTGGAGGAGGCTGCAGCTTCCAGAAATACAGGAACTGGACACATTTCAGCATTATTTCCTACTAGAAGAGGTGATGGAGAGGTAGAGGAGAGGAAGAAGGGAACACGAAAGGAGACAGAAAAGGGATGATAGAGGCATACACACTAAGTGAAAGGAAGGGGCTCAGATGTGGATAAAGATAGCTCTCAGCCTGCGATCACACAACCATGTCAGATAACAAGGTTACAGTGCGAGTACCCCCAACACAGTTAAAATGTGGTTCAGTCTTGGAATGTAGCTGGAGCCTACATCTCTGAACTGTGCGAAAGCCCCAGTCACGTCCAAGGCTCTAGCGCAGTCAGTTTGGGGACATGGTTAAAAGGATATTTAGGTGCAAGACTGAGACTGACCCGTGTTTCAACTATATCAAGGGACAGCCGTATTGTAAGTGGGTCCCTAGACGTGGTTATTACTGTGTAAAAGTTGTTATATGATGTAAACAAGCTGTAACAAATCCATTATTATGATGGGTTGGGCGGAACATGGGAGACAACTGTTGCCAAACCAATGAATTTAATCTTTTCAGTGAAATGTTCACTAGGTATATGCAGGAGCGCGGCCAGCTTTTCTGCCGCCCTAGGTGGCGGAAGGTCCCGCCCCAAAATGCCACCCCCCACAGAGGCGGCGGAAGGTCCCGCCACCGAAATACCGCCGCGGTCGCCGCCCCCCAAATTGTAGTGCCCTAGGCGACCGCCTAGGTCACCTAATGGGTTGCGCCGGCCCTGGGTATATGCACTACCTCCATCAGAATGTCCCCCATCTCCTTGGTTATATCCTTGTCAGGGCTTGAAAAGCCCTAAGGATTCCCACCAAGTTTTCCTCCCCCCCCCCTTTGAACATGCCTTGGGGCATAATTGAGGAAGCTACACCTTAGCTTAGCAGGCCCACACAGCTGGGTTAGCTTCAGAGCTCATTCATGCTATTTGACAAAACAAAAAGCCCGATGCAGCTCCCATTCTGACCTAGGGCTGAACATGCTGGTTCAACCATCCCCAGCCAACTCAGGAAGCATATGAACAGTCATCCTGGATCTCCTTCCCCACAGAGCAGAGCTACTCCTGCTACTTGAATGTCACTTCACTGTCACTCTTGCCAGCACTTCAGTTTACTAATGCAGGATGACAGGCCTATCTTCTAACAACTATGGGAACAACTTGTGCCCTTTAAAGCTAAAGTCAGAGAATGGAAAGAACTGGACATTCACATCTTGAGTGTGAACTACGTCAGCTGTTTGGAGACCACCTCATTTAAAACATGGGGAATGCGTGTACAACTGCAGGGGGATAGCGGTAAGCAATGACAAAGATGGATGTAATCTAGTAGTCTTTGCAGAACTTGATCCCTTTTGACACACAACAGGGACACTGTGGGTCACTATAGTGAGGCCTTTATTTTGCAGCCATCAGAGAGAGGCTGCGATGATAATGAAGACAACAGGGCTGCCCAGAGGGGGGGCAAGTGGGGCAATTTGCCCCAGGCCCCGGGCCCCGCAGGTCCCCCCCGAGAATATAGTATTCTGTAGTGTTGCAACTTTTTTTTTATGGAAGGGGCCCCCGAAATTGCTTTGCCCCAGGCCCCCTGAATCCTCTGGGCAGCCCTGGAAGACAAAGCTGCTTTCTCTTTTGATGGCCAGTTCTTCTTTTGTGGGCTCATTTTTCAGCAACCCTCGTAATTAGAGCTGGTTGAAAAACAGAGCAAAAAAATCTGGCCAATATTTAAAAGAAAAATTTCCCCCTGGCCTTTAGAAATTTGTCAACACTTTGACCAGCTCTATAGTTGCTCAAAAAAAGGAGGGGGGGGGGAATAATGAAAATTTCATCACTAAATTTTTCACCAAAATTTTGGCACGTGACCCTTTGTAGGGCTGAGCTCTTTCTGCCTTTGCCAAAATGCATATAAAGCATCCAATGGGTCAGGTGAAACATAACACCACAATATCAAAATACAGGAAGGAAGGAGATAGATTAATTATGAGTCATTGTGGTGTGTGCTTTATAAATGGATGTGTAATGAACATTGTCATTGGTAGTCTAGGGCCAATACTACAAGGGCACCAGTACCCAAAATCATTGAAGCTGAAAAGCAAGAAACATTTGTTCATGATCCTTTGAATCTTAAAAGCATTCAAAAGTCACAAGTTCTTTTTGATTTCTTCATGGTAATATAGCACTTCCCCATAAGTTTTCCCACAGCAGTCT